GGTTAAGCGACTGCCTTCGGCTCAGGTCATGATCCTGGAGTCCCGGGATCGAGTCCCACATTGGGCTCCCTGCTCAGCAGGGAGTCTGCTTCTCCCTCTGACCCTCTTCCCTCTCGTGCTCTCTGTCTCTCATTCTCTCTCTCTCAAATAAATAAAATCTTTAAAAAAAAAATAAAAATCTTGAAAAGGTAACAATCTTTTCCAAAACAAAAAATAATTTAATGAGAATGGCATTGTTTTATATTTTTATAAATCATTTCAATGTCTAATAGACTTTCAGGTGGATTCTCTGTTTCTGCATTTGATCTGTTAGTGATACGTTATTTTGGTTGAAGGATGAGAAGGAAATCTGACCTTACACAAATACATAGTTTGAAAAGTGAGGAGTGTTTAAATAGTCTTTTCATATAACCTTGGCCATTCTTCTCTGTAACTGCACCAGTCCTCGTCAGATTTTTCTTCTTACTTTTTATTGTAGGAGTTTTTAACCACAGAAGTAGAGAGGGTGGGTGGTGGAGCAGCCCTCTGTGTGCCCGTCATCTGGCTTCAGCTGCCAGCCACTTGCTGCATTCTTGTGTTTTTGTTTCTTCTCTTAAATTTACCAAAAAAAAAAATTGTTAGCATATTTTAAAGCAAATTCTGGGTATGTAATGTCATCTGTCTTTTAGTTTATGTCTCCCAGATAAGACCTTTAAACAGACGCAGCACCTGGATTGCGCCCAATGGAATTAACAATCATTCTATAATATCCTTTATTACCTAGGCAACAGTCAATTTTTCCTGTCAAAAATGTCATTCTAAAGTTAATTTATTTCAATCCAGATACAGTTCTCACATTACATAAGGTTATTTTGCTTAAAACTTTTGTATTTTGTGGCAATAAAAATCTCTCCCATTTTTCCATGTCTTAAGTTTGCTGCAGAAATGAGGTCATCTGGCTATCTCGAATGCCCCACATTTTGGATTTAGCTAATGGCTTTGTGTTGGTGTGATTTAACATGTATTGCCCCAGAATTTCCTTTAAATTGGGAGCCCGATCTAGAGATTTGATTAACTACGGGTTCTTTTTTTGGCAAGAATACTTGATAAACGGTGCTCTTTCCTCCCATCAAGAAGAATATAACACCTAGTTCCACTTTTTTGTTGGGGATTGAGAAGTCACTTTAGTGTCCATCTGATCCAACCATTATGAAGTTCTACATCAGCTCTCCACCGGGCTTTAGCAGACATCAGGGGTTATTGCTCTGTTATTTCATTAGATGTTGCAGGTAGTTTGATTTTCTAATTTGGTCTTTCACTGTTTATTAATTGTGGCTCCTGTATAGAGGGCAACCCGCCCTGACCAGCTACTTGGTTATGCAGCAGTAGTCATACAGGAAAGGCAGAGTGATGACTGTTTGCCTTTAGAAATCTTTGGAAAAGTGAGTTGGTACCCTGAGAACCCCCAAAGGTGACCAGCGTGGTGTGTGGATCCTAACGAGTTTGTTACCCGTTCGTTCTTTAGAAGCTTTGCGCGTTGCTCACCTGTGGCCGTGAGAGCCCTTCCCTTCTTTCCTGTTGCTTCTGTGCTGCCACTGCAGGTGTGCTCACTGACTCCCTTGCCTTCATGGCAAGGTGGCCCGGGTTTGTGTGACAGAAGCGGTAGCCGGCACTCTTGGAAGTGCCCAGAAAAGAGGAGCAAAGACTGAGGGCTTGTCGCAGCTTGGAGAAGTGACCGCTGAATGCCACGGGAGGTCCTAGGTGGGACCCCCGAGACCTTAATGAATGTTTCATTATGAAACAGACATTTCTGGTATATGGGAAAAGGATTCTGTACAAACAGCTCTGAGAGAACCATGCTCTCCCAAGTGTTTAAGATCGATTAAACTTTTAGGTGTAGCTTTGGTAAAATTAAAAAATGTCCGTCTAGCATAGAGACCACAGGACAAGAGGGAGGGCCCTTTGATTTCATCTCTCTGCCTTTTCACATCGAGAGATGAAATCAAACCAGGGAAATAAGTCCTTTTGTTCAGCTCAGGAAGGCTTTGTGAAGGCTCCTCTGAACACCATCAGGTTTTCAAACTTCTAGGTCTTACACTGGCAAATGCTTTGTTTTGGTGATAAATTCCTCTCATCCTCCCCCTCCCCCCTTGCATATTTCTCTTTAAAACCTAGAGACCTGCTCTTTGGCCAGTCCTGAGGGCAGTAGTTTAAATGGTGTAAGTCTCAGGGTGGTTTTGGTCTCTTGAGTGAGTAATGAAAAGGTGGTTTTGTTATTTATTGAACTATTGTCAGTTGTTGCATCATCCTACTCTGTCCTTATTTTAGATTCAGACATTTGATAAAGTCTGATTTTAAGCTCTGTACCTTTTGTGCTGCTTAAACGAGGTGGAGATCAGTAAGCCCTCTTTCCAGGTGTAGGACTTCTGAAAAACAGTGCACGTTAGGTCAGTCATTGAGAGGTCGTGTGGCGTGACGTCAGAGTTACTTGTTTGTGCATAGGAGGCCTGGGACAGACCGGGCCTGCTGCGTCTGTTGTACTAGGACACCGCCGTGCTGCCTTTTTTTAACCTTTTGTCATGGAACATTTCAAGCATGCATGAGTAGACTGGATTGAATCCTGAACCCCCATACCCATCTTCCAAGGGGAACAGATACGAACTGCTACGTCTCTACCCCACATACTATTTTGAGGAAAATTCCAGACATCGTGTTATTGCCCCTGTAAATATTTCAATATGCAACTCTATAAGGCCTTTTTTTAATAATTAAATATAACCACAGCATCATTCTCACATCTTAGAAAATACAGTAATTCTTTGATACCATCAATAATCCCATTGGTACTGCTTCCCTGATTGTTGTTTGTTTGAATCAAATAAAGCCATACAAGCCGAGTACAGCCATGGTTTGGCCAGTATGTGCATCTTATGTCCTGCGGTGTTGAGGAAGCCAGGCTGCTTGTCCAAACGGTCCGCACCCTGTGATCTGCAGTGCTCCTGTTTGCTCTGAGTTTGTAGTAAGACCACATCCTGGGTGTGTGGATATTGTTTGTTTGTTTGTTTGTTTTGCAAGACCACTTCCTGGCCTTGCTGCTGGTTCTCTCAGGAGGCACAGAATCACTGAAAAAATACAGGTAGTAGCTCTAACAAAGGGTTCTTACAGCTGAATTTCCCCCTTTTGGCTGTCTTACTTTGTTTTTAACCAAACGTTGTTTTTCTTTGAGAATCTTACAAATCTAGAAGTTCATAGTGGTACAAGTGTCTGTAACACCTTCTGTGACTTGTCGGTCTAGTTAGCATCCCATGACTTCACTTTCTGGATTTGGTTTTTGGGGAGAGTCGATGTCCAGTTGTTTGTTTCTCTCTGTCTCTCTCTCGCCCTCCCTTCCTCCCTCCCTTCCTTTCTTTGTTTTATTTATTTATTATTTGAGAGAGAGAGAGAGAGAACCAAGTGGGGGGGGAGTGGAGGGAGAGGGAGAAGCAGGGAGCCCGGGATCATGATCTGAGCCGAAGGCAGACACTTCAGCGACTGAGCCACTCAGGGGCCCCTCGATGTCTGTTTCTGTGATAGTTTCACATATTGCAAACTTGTACAGTTTAACACCTGATACTCATCCTGTCTTTTGGAAGACATTGACCTCTGTGAAACTGATTTTGTTTTCAAGGGTTTCTTCTCTTCTAGCAGTTTATATTGCCAAACCTGTCAAATAGCACGGAAGTGATTTTGTGCTTTTGTGGCTGATGATAGAGTTGACTGTTGGATGAGATTACCTTTGATCATCAGATTATTTCATTAACAAGGGTTTTGGGAATTTATCATAAGCAGGTTACTGAGAGTAGGGAGCACATCGTAGAAACTAAAAACCTGCAGTGGTTACCTTGTGAGACAGAAATAGCTAGCTTTTAAATCTCTGTCTCTGGCATGTGGATGCTGTGTTTTCAGAAGAGCCTGAGAGGTACCTGGATTAAAGCCAGTCCTAGTGGTGCTGTGAGGCAGCTCGGCTTGCTGCAGAAAGAGGGAAACACCAGAGGTCAGCCCCGGGTGCCTGGGAACCCTGGTTCTCATGCTGATCATACGAAATCATGAATATTGTTGTCTCTCATGAACAAGAGTTATTACTTAGGCTGTTTGGGAAAATCAAATGAGATCTCTTTTTTGAAGTTCAGTCTCTAACTCTTGAGCTGAGCCAATGCTTTGGAAAGCCTGCTTTGCAGCACTGGTCCTGCCGTCTTGAGGTGGTTTTCGGTTTGTGTGGGTCAGGATTTTGAAGGGATTCCTTTTTAACTAATTACTGTTTATTTCTCTTTAAAACTACTGTCTTGGGACAAAATTAATGGGTCCGGTCAAAATGTTATATATGAATTTGAGATTCATCGAATCACAGATTGGAGTTCTATTAATTTTATAATCTGTTTTCTGGACATGAGTGGGTCTGTATGTGTTAGCACATGATTTCTAGTCTTAGTATATTCTTGGGTTAGTAGAAAGGTGTAAATTATGGGCAGATTCCTTTTTTTTTTTTTTAAGGTTTGTTTATTAAGACCGAGAGAGAACGAGCAGTGGGGAGGGGGAGAAGCAGGCTCCCCCCTGAGCAGGGGCCCCCCCCCCCCCCCCCCCCGACATGGGACTCCTTCCCAGGACCCTGGGATCATGACCTGAGCTGAAGGCAGACGCTTAACCAACTGAGCCACCCAGGTGCCCCTATGGGTAGATTTCTTTAAACTAAGACTGCAGGGGTGCCTGGGTGACTCAGTCAGTTGGGCAGCTGGCTCTTGATGTCTCCTGGGCTCTTGATCTCAGGTTCATGAGTTCAAGCCCTGTGTTGGGCTCCAGCTGGGAGTGGAGCCCAAATTAAAAATAAATAAGTAAATAAATAGATAAGCTACTTAGACTCCAGAGGGATAAACACATGTCCTGGAAAACCTGAGAATTTTAAGACTTCCTAGTAACTTAATTTTAAGAAGCCATTGTATTCTGTACTTCAGGTTACTGATGTATTGTCTTTTATTGTTTTACAGCATTCTACAGTTGCCATTCAGCTTCTCCCAGTGCAGCCACAAAGTAAACAGCTCATGACTTCTGATCAGGACACTAAGGTCGTGGCTGAACCGCAGGGCCAGCGAGTCCAGGAAGGGAAAGACAGCGCTCATCTGGTGAGTGTGGGTCGAGGCCAGAATTGGCCTGGTGCCTCACTCTCCTCTTCTGATCACAGATGCTGTGTTGGATTTAATAAGTAAATCAAAGTAGTAACTCTGGCGTATCTCACAACCTAAATATAGGTGTTACATTCTGAATAAGTTTATGGGTAGCTTAGTAGTAGAGGAAGCTGTCAGTAGTAGGGGAGAGAACAAACACATATCTCTGGACACCTAAAAGCTTTTGGAGTTTAGATCACTAAGAAGAATGCAGTGATTTATAAATCCTGTAATAACATTATACCTGTTGTACTGGTATGAATTTAAAGAATTAACTAGGATTGTAAAATTTTTTGACTGCTTTTAAGATTTTTACCCTATCAAGCAAAGCAGATTTTTATTAATTTTCCCCATTGAAACTACAAGCAGTTTTGCATATGGTGGTCAGAATTTTATAATATTTTAGGTTTCAAGGCTCCTACATTGTTCTGAATATTTTTTGTCATGTAAAAATGTTTTTTTCTCAGTGGGTTTTGTTTTTGGTAAATTACTGTGGTTTGAAAATGCTGCTTTACATTGTAATGATGGTGTGTTTGATGTTTTCAATTTTACAGATGAATGGTCCCATATCGCAAACCACTTCTCAGACAAGCTCCATCCCAGCTTTGAGTCAGGTAATTCACTTGCAGATGGTCACAGCTGAGGCTCACACTGCCTTACAACAAATATTTATTGTAACAAAATTAGAAAATGTTGATGTTTCCAACTAAGGGGGGTGATGGTGGGGGGAGAGCCCCATGTGGGGTGTAAGTGTTCAGCACTGTGTGTTCTCCTCTGACCTGTGTGCTGCATGTATGGTTCTACGGAGGGGGTGTGCCACGTGTTCGTTCAGTGTCGGATACTTACCACAGTGTTCTTAATGGTCCACTGGTAATCTGTTGACTGTATATGATTAGCTCTACATTTTGAAAGCCTGTGTTCTTTAAAGTACGCAAGTCATAGTAAGCTTTTACTAAGAAAATTGGTTTCACATTTTGGCTGTGGTTAATGAAAGAAAAAGGAAATGGAGATACATTGGTTTTTAACTCTGTCTTTAGCTTATGTGCATATGCATATGTCAGGTGCATTTGGAGCCACTCCACACTTAGCTTGGCAGTCTCCTAAGTGATCTTGTAAACCTGGCACAATTTAAAAAATAAAAGAAAAACTCCTAAAGTAATGTTAACAAAATTTATAGTAAATTTCCCCCAAATTGCAAGCAGTTCATATAGAAATTGAAGGAGGGATTGGATTGCTGCCCCTCTTTTAATAAGGTAGAATTTTTTAAAAATGAAGGTTTCCCTCCAAACTATTATTTCATTGTTGTTACTATATATGGGTTTTTTTGCATATTGTATTTTACATTGATTTTTAAAATGAATTTTATAATATTTAAAGTAATTTAAGATCCAAATATAAGACCTTTAGTAATCTAAGAGGGAAATTATAGAAATCATTAAAAAAAAATTTTTTTTTAGGACCAATCTTCTTCCTCCCCATGGTTGATTTACAGTCCAACATAATATTCAGACATCTTTTTAAAACTTACTGCAGGGATAGAAACTAGATTTTGGATTCTTTGGGGTTTTTTTTTTTTTGAAAGATTTATTTATTTATTTGAGAGAGCGAGAATGAGAGAGTACATGAGAGGGGGGAGGGTCAGAGGGAGAAGCAGGCTCCTCGCTGAGAAGGGAGCCCGATTCGGGACTCGATCCTGGGACTCCAGGATCATGACCTGAGCCAAAGGCAGTCGCCCAACCAACTGAGCCACCCGGGCGCCCCTCTTTGTTTTTTGTTTTTTTTTTTTTGCCTGTATTACTTTATTTATAACTATTGAGATAAGACCTATCTAGAAAAGAATTGAAACACTCAAGCCAGAATTCAGGACTTCTATACAGAAATAATTTGCAACTAGTACTGCCTACACATGCTCTGTCATTTTTAAGAGTTAACGTCCTATAATAGACCCTGTGTGGCAAGTTTTTGGTTCGGCCTTGATCTTTAGCACCCCTGGTGTCCCTCAGGCACATCCCGTCTCTGATGTGAGGTTTTGTAAAATGTGGATCTGCTGTTTGCCAGTGTTAACAGGGTGTTGCATACTTAGGTTTTCATAAGATCATTACGTACTAGAGCTGGAAGGTACCCTGAGAGACATCTGGGCTTAGAGTGTGTGTGTGTCCTTTAACAAAGCTTTATTTACAACAAACTTGAGCATCTTTACAGAAAATGAAAGAATACACACATTTCTGTGTAGCTGTAATCAGCAGACATACACCTCACCCCATCTTCCCACGCGGCGTAGTTTCATCTATGCATCTCCCTGTCCTTGCCGTTGTGGTATTTTGTTTATGTTGCAGTGCTGTCGTTCTTTAGTCATTTGGTTTGGGGGCATTTATATTGTTCTTTCTTTCCTGCTACTATAAATGGCATTGCTCTGAATATCTTTCTTGCTGGCATCATTCATGGTGCGCCTGAGCGTGTGGGTGTGGTCGTTGGTTTAGCGGCTGCAGGTGTTCTCTGGCCGAGTGAGCCTGTCTAGCAGGCTGATTCAGGAAGCAATCTCTCGAAGGTTCAGTCTTCCCCCTGAGCTGGATATGGTGTGAGTAGAATTACCATAGTGATGCCCAGATAAATGTCTGAAGAATTCAGGAGCAGCCTTGCATTTACCCAATGGTAATATTAATATTACCACTGGATAATTAATAATATCCTTCTGCCCCCACCCACCCCCCAAAAAAACCCTACTGACTAGCAGTGCTTTACAACCCTAGCCAGTCAGTGAGCATCAAAAAATTGATCTTTAGCTAGAGGAGGCTAAGACCCAGAGAGGCTTGAGTAATTTCTCCAAGGTTACTTAACTACAGAGTGGCAGAACCATGATTTGAACCCAGGCAAACCTGGCTTCTGAGTCCAAACTCAAGATGAGATACTGCCTCTTGGGTATCTGTTATTTCATTTAAAAAAAGAAACAAGTAGAAAATAATACCCCAAACAAAAACCTATTTGAATTGTCTCTGAGTGGATGAAATTCATTTGGGATAAAGCTGGAGGATTTTAGGTGGGGAATAGCATGACTACATTTTAGGAAGATTATTTTGGCCTCAGTATGTTTTTACATATAATAGATTGTAGTGAGCAAAGAAAGCAAATAGAAAACTATTAAGGAATGAAGGTTAGAAATGATGATGGTGAGTCAGAGTAGGAATGAATGGATTTCAAATTATTTTGGAGGTGGGTTTAACCACACCAAGTTGTGGATTGGATATAGAGGTTGGGGTGAGGGAAAGATAAATCAGGGATAGTTGAACAACTTGATGGATAGTGGTTTCATTTATTGAGATGGAAAAAATTGGAGAGGTAAAGGTTTGTGGAGGGGAAATCCACCTGGTAGAAATTCAAGCAAGCAGTGAAGTGGGCAGGTGGGGCCAGTTGGACCTTAGTGGAGTGGTTGGAGCCTGAGATGTTTGAAGTTTGAACTTTTATTACTTATTATATAAATTTATTATATGGAAAAGACCATTAAAACTATTATAAATATGGATTAGGGGTATATAATTGAAAAGTAATTGAGTTATTGCTTGGAATAAAATCAACTCTAATCCTTTTTTTTCCCTCTATAATTTTTTGCTTATCTTGGACAGGTTTTATGTCCTGCAAGGGCATTTTTGGCTATAACTTTTCTCTTCATTGGTTCATCCTTTTCTAATCACCTGTATTACTTCTTAGATATTTGATTAAAATTTATTTAAGAAATTATGTTCTATATTGTTTTTTAAAAATGTTTCAAATGTCTTAGTTTTCTCTCAGGAGTTTTAAGACCCATAAGGGCAGGAAACCGTGTAATGTACTTCATTGATACTTCTTTGCAAGGCATACTTTATCTAAGTTGAAAAATTTCATTATCAGCATGGCATAATTGATAGTTGTTTATTCTAAAAACTTATCTTTATCTAATCATGTATCTGGTTACCATAGGAATTACATATAACATCCAAAAATTATAACTGCCTAATTTAAATTGTCCTACTTAACCTTAATAGCACACAAAAACTGTACTCCCTGTAAAATTCTCCCCCTCCTTTGTGTTACTGGAGTCACAAATTTACATCTTCATTACTATATGCCCAATTACATAGATTTATAATTATTTTTAGGCATTTGCCTTTTAAATTTGTAGAAAATAAAAAGTGGAGCAGTAAATCAAAATAGCAATAATAGTTTTTGTAATTGTCCATGTATTCACCTTTATCAGAGAGCTTTATGTCTTCATACAGCTGCGAATTACTGTGTCATGTTTTTTCATTTCAGCCTGAAGGACTCCTTTAGCGTTTCTTTCAGGGCAGACCTGGTGTTAAAAAACTATTTCAACTTTTATTTGGGAATGTTTTAATTTCTTCTTCAGTTTTGAAGGACAGTTTTGCTAGGTAAGGAATTCTCACTGGACGGTTTTTTCTTTCAATGCTTTAAATATATCAGTCCTGCCTTCTTAGCCTGGAATGTTTCTGATGATGAACTGGCTGATACTCTTACTGAAGAGCTCTTGTAACTGACAAATAGCTTTTTTCTTGCTGCTTTCAAGATTGTTTTTTAGCAGTTTGATTGGAATGTGTCTTGGGTGGGTCTCTGTGTTTATCCTGGGTGAAGTTTATTGAGATTGTGGATTTGTAAATTTATATATTCGTCATGATTGGGAAGTTTTTGGCCACTATTTCTTCAAATATTCTCTGCTGGGACTCCCACGATGAGTGTGTTGGTCCATATGGGACATAGGTGGTGTCCACTCACTTTAGGCTCCACTCACTTTTCTGTTTATTTTTTTACTCCTCTAGATAATTTCATTTGTCCCCTGTTCAAATTTCCTGGTTCTTCTGCCTATCCAGGTCTGCTGTTGAACCCCTCTAGTGAATTTTTCAATTCAGTAACTACTGTTGTTCAGCTCCAGAATATTTCTTTTTGGTTCTTTTTATAAATACCCATCTCTTTGTTGGTATTCTCATTTTGTTCATATATCGTATGATATATGAACTAACTGATTAACGTTAGTTCCTTGTCCATGTTTTTCCTTTGCCCTTTGAGCATATTTAAAAACGTTTTAAAGTGTTTGTGGAGTAAGTCCCATGTCTGCGCTTTCTCGGGGATAGTGAATTTTGTTCCTTTGAATGAGTCATGTTTTTCTGTTTCTTTGTATACCTTGTGATTTTTGCTGTTGTTGTTGTTATTGCTAAGAACTGGGCATTTGATTTTATTTGTAATGTGTATGTCTTACTGTTTTTGAGACTTTGCCAAGTTATTTTTGTAAAGACTGTTCCTCGTCATATGTGTTCATTGAAGCCTCTGTTCCTTTAGCTTGTGTTCAGCTAATATTTTGACAGAGATTTCTGGTAATGCCATGAACTGAAACAGACAGTCCAGACCCCCTCCTCCCCGAAGAAAACAGGAGAGAGAATGCAGCTACCTTTCCCAGTCTTCATAGACTGGCTCTGTTCTGAGACAGTCACTCCCTGATTAGCTCAGCTTGCTTAGAGACTAGAGGATCACCCCAAGGTGAAAGCCTAAGGCCTTCTTAGGACTGTTTTGAGCATCTGTCTTGCCTGGATGTGGCTTTTGGAATTTCCCATATACATGGCTGCTTTTG